GGGTATGAGAGTGACAGGAAGACAAGAGACAAGAGGGGGAGGGCAAGACCAGCAACAGCAAATTATGCATGAAAATTCCATAAAGAGACCCTGTGCATGCTACTTAACCAATAAAAATGACAGCCTCTTGCTCTCTCCCAACCCAAGAAGAACTGGAGGAGTCGGGATGCAATGAACTCAGTCAAACTGAGACTGACCTTGTATTACACTGTCCCTTCTGCTGACCTCTTCCCTGGGGAAGAACCAGAGCTAACTGGGCTGCCTCAATCTTGTTCAAATCCTAGAGGGGATGTGGCAGGAACTCAGAGCTGTTTGTACTCCAAGAGTGTTTGGAACACCAAAATGACGAGCGTTTACGAAACCAGCTAATGGTAAGAGGCAGAAATGGGCTGTCAGTCTCTGAGACTGGGAGGGGTTTTCTGTGTTTTGCAGTGCTCATACAATAGTAATTCTAAGAGAATATGCTGTCCTTCCTCCCTGCCTCCCAAGACCTTTTGTTTATATTCCAGCAAGAAACACATTTTTACCAACAGCTTGTGATGTATTCAATAGAAACTGCACAGTATCCTTTTCTTAGAAAGCTGTGGGGAAGGAAGAAAATACTGACTCCGCTGTTTACTTTCCATAAAACCTTAGCTAAGGCTTTAACTTTTTGAGTTTAACTTTTCTTGCATGTGCCATGGGATGACAGTAGCACGTGCTTTAAGGCAGAGAACAGAGCTAAGTGAGAGAGTGGTGGCCTGTGGGGTGGAGGCCTGTGGAGCACTTGCCTGCTGCCTGCTACCTACTTAACATACTGTTACACTGTTACTATAATTTCAGTTGTTACTGTGATGCCCTGGGGTCAATGGCAAATAGTTCAATAATAGCTTGGTGTTCTAGTTTGCATTCACTGAAGCTGCAAATTTTACACAATTCTCTTTGATTTAAAATTCATAAATAGTCATTTTATGATATGAGTTCTTAATATATATATTAATATATATTAATGCTCATTAAGTGACTTTTATAATTCTATGTATATAGTCACCAAACACTAGTGAACCCAATTTTATGAAAAAAAATAACTGTACATAAGCCATAGCTTAACCCCAACACAATAATGGAGGGAGAGCTTAATATTTGCCTTTTATCAACAGACAGATCATGCCAACAAAACACAAACAGAGAAACATCTCGGTCAAATAAAATCACAAATCAAATGAATATATTAAATAGCTACAGAGTGTTCCATCCAAACACTGCAGAATACATATTCTTTTCATAATTCCATGAAACTTTCTCTAAAAGAGATGATATAGAATATAAAACAGGGCAAATTAAAATCATTTGGTGCATTCTATGTGACCACAATGAAATAAAATAAGAACTAGACATCAGGAAAAACTACAGAACACATACAAATCCACAGAAACTGTACATCACACTACTGAATAATTAAGGCTTATCAACGAGATCACAAAGGAAATTTCAACCTTTCTAAAGCAAAATGAAAATGAAAAGACAATCTACCCAACCCCATGGCAGGATAAAAACTTTCCTAAGATAAAACTTTATAGGTACAACCACTTACACTATAATATCAGAGGGTCAACGAGATGGCTACCTGTTCATACAAAGGACCAGGGCTCGGTTCCTAGCACCCTGGTTGGGTTGGGTAGTTCACATCTGTTTGTAACTGCAATTCCAGGTGATTCCATTCTTCTGATTTCCAAGGGTGTTAGCACACAGGTGGTGCACATACACACACACACACACACACACTGAAATACACATAAAATGAACATTTTGGTTTGGAAAAATTGCTGAATGGTTACCAGCACTACATGCTCTTCCAGAGGACCAGGTTCAAGTCTCAACACCCAGCCAGATAGTGGTGGTACCTGCCTTTAATCCCAGCATTTGGAAGGCAGAGGCAGGCAGATCTCTGAGTTTTGGGCCAGCCAGGACTACAGTGTGAATTTCAGGAAAGCTAGGAATACACAGAGAAACCCTGTCTCAAAAAACAAACAAAAATAAAAATCAAGTCCTAGCATCCATATGGCAGCTCACAACTGTCCTTAACTCCAGTTCTATGAAATCTAATACCCTCTTCTGGTCTCTGCTGGCACTGAACACACATGATATACAGATCCAAAATTAGTAGAAGAAAAGAAATAATTAACATCAGAGAATAAATTAATAAGGTTAAAATGGATAAAAATACAAAGAATGAATGAAAACACAAACTTCTATAAAAAAGATAGATGGTTTGGCGAACCTTAGGCAAATATACCTGAAGAGAGAGAGAAAACCTAGACGAACCATATTATCAATGAAAGGAAGACATTATAATAGATTCTAATGAAATTCAGAAAACTATTAAGACATATCTTGAAAACTTATATCCTACTACAATGGAAAATCTGAAGAAAAGAATGAATGAGTTTTTAAATATATATGACCAACGAGAATAAATAAAAAAAGAGATAGAAATGTAAACACATCTAGAACAAGCAATGTGAAGCAGTGATTCATAACATAAACATGGATATGGAAATGTACCTGTCATATGTTGCCATGGAGTTCTTTGGCTAAATATCCAGGACTAGGGGTGGCTGGGTTATGTGGTTGATCCATATGTAGTTCTTTGAAGAACCTTCAAACTGATTTCCACAGTAGCTGGACTTCTATATTCACAGAAGGCATGAAAGTTCCCTTTGTTCTGTGTGCTTCTCAGCTTTTGTTGTTTGTTTTTTAAATGACAGTCATTCTAAGTGGTATGAGACCTCAATATAGGTTAGTTTTCACTTCTCTGATGACTAGTGAGGTTGAACATTTTTCATGCATGTAATATGGCCTTCGGACTTCATTCTTTAAGAATTGTCCATTAATTTGATTAGCTATTTACTGATTGGGCTGTTATTTGTTATTTAGTTGACTTATATAATTTGTCAAGTTATTGGTATAGCCTAGATATCATTTTTTGTCAACAAAGAGTATTTCTGTAAAGGGTGACATTGAAATTTTGATGGAGATTGCTTCATCTCACTATCGCATTCAATAAATACTGACTTTAGAATTTTAAGCTTTGAGTATTTTCTAGTAGAGTGCAAGCTTTCCAGAGGTGGGAGTCTCAGCAAGTAGGGGCAGATTAGAACTCAGCCATGTTAATATACTTCAAGCTCTCAGCCTTTACTTACTGAATGAGAAAGCTAAGGCTGCTATGCCTTGTGGCCATTTACTCCTTTGGAGATGAGTTCTCTTCCTAAAGGCTGCTGGGAATAAACTCTGGTCTTTATTGTCTAAACATCACCCTCCACTCCCCTCTCCATCCTTGGACATAAAAATTAAAATATCTCCTAACACTATCAATAAAGTAAAGAAAGACTTAAGTCTCCCTCTATTGAGAATAGGCTTCTCTGAAATAAGGTAGATAAATTGCCTTGCTGGGCCAAATGAACTATTTAAAGTTATGAATCCCTCTCCTTAAGTTAAAGAGATCTGGAAACTACCTGAGTTCCATAGTCAATATAGAGCACTGAAATAGATGCTTCATCAAAGTTAGCCAGGTAATTGAGCCCTAGCAGTATGTGTCTTATAATAAGATGGAACTAGTTTTTATTCTCTTGGGCCAAAAGAAAACGGATAATCTTAAGTTACCGGAAAGAAAATATGGCAGTGTTGATGTCATCTGTCTCTCTATTCCCAACCTAGTTTGTAGGGAACCCAGTGTTATTCCCACGTGTGAATAGAGAGGTTCTAACTCCAAAGTCTACAAAATATTAGCATTGCAAATGCAATATGCAACACACATTTTTTTGTTTATTTTGGTGATGCAGCTGTTGGAAACGTATACATCTGTGGAATGTGAAAAGAAACCTTTGACAATGTGCCATTGTTGTCTAAGCTATTACACCCTCGTCTGGCAGTTTCACATGATGTTTGGAGAACTGGAAAAATATGTTATCATATTAGAAGTGTTGCGTGTGAAGAGAGATCTGAGAGAATAGATACACTTTTCATACTTCATTAGTGCCAAGGTCTCAGTCCAAATGATCTTCAAATGGGCAACAAGTGCATAAATCCTTCCCTATCTAGAGCTTCAAATATAGAGACAAACTTCTGCAAGTTACCTATGGTTAGGTATGCTATCCATACAGGAGAGCAAGCTGGGATATAGCTTAAATGAAATACAGGAAACAGTGCAACCCAGGAGCAGAAATGAAACTCAATTGACAGTATTCTGACAATTATCATCACTAAATTTAAGCATGAGACAGTAGACCCAGCAAGCTCATTGACAATTATGCAAAGAGCAAGGATGACATTCTAAAATGCAGAGACAATGAGATCAAACCGACCTAAAGCAGAATCTTTCTTTCTCTACACTGTACGAAATCTGTTTCTTCAGCTAAGGTTGATTGTGGTAACAATAACAACAAAAACCTTAATATCTCAATTTAGAGTTCCCAAAGCATTTCTCATTCAGCTTCATATTTACCCTGGCTCAGCTGCAGGTCTGATCTATACCAGCCTTCTGTGTGAACCCAGGCTGTCAATGATGCCTCTATATAAGTCTGCCCTGCCCTGCTTTTGGTAGTTCGAGGGATCAAACCAGGCCTTGAGTATGCCAGACACGTGTTCTACCACTAGACTGTAGCCACAGTCTCTGCGAAGAAATTATACTCATCATCATTTAGTGTTAGGAAATAAGACAGAGGGTAGATAATATAAAGTTTCCTAAACTTGTTCTCAGAATGTATCCTCAGAAATACATGCATTGCCTCTGGACCAAAAGGAAGGTGCACTATAAAGAGTGGATGGCCAGCACTACAGTCTGGGCCTTTATATGTTCACAGCTGCTTGTGGAAAGATGTAATTATCGAGCAAGTTTAAAGTATGATGTACTATCCTACCGAGGCTACAAAATATGCTAGAATCCTCATAGCAAGAAGCTACAGTGAAGACTCGGTATTATGTGTTCTGTTTTATAGATGAAAAGAAACAGGCTCACCTACCTGTTCATAAACACGCAACTGAGGATACTGGGTACTAAGTATTTGATTGTGCTCCCTCCTCCCATGCACTTTGTAGTTCCATAATGGCTTCTTTTAAACACAGTTGCTTCTCACTGTTTTAGATCCTGTCTGCATGAAGGAAGAGCAGTAGGAATAAGGGACAGCTGCAGATGGTGCAACTATCTTGTTGGGGTTCCCACTCTTGAGATTTCTAGATTCTCTTTAATAAAATCCATTGACGCGGAAGGGTCTGTTCTAAACGCCCCCTTTCTTGGCTAGTTTTGTCTCTTCTTACAGATTAGAAACCATTCCTTTCTATATTTACCCACTCCTAAATATTAAACACACCCCTACTTCTACACACACCAAGCCTTTTTGGCAAATCTCTGTAGTAAACAGATGGACTCTCCGTGTTGCTGGGAGACCACTTCGTATGTAGAATCCAGTCCAAAGGGAGGAGAAGGAAGGGCAGCATAGTGTGGCGGGTATGAGCATCTCTCGTCCCCTCCCCTCTTCTCCTTCCTCTATGCTTTTTGTGACTCCCCTTTTAATTCAGTTCTGGCTCATTGCCTGCTAGCTGAACAACACTGAGCAGGTCACTTCCTCTCAGTAAGCTCCAGCTTCCTCATCTCAAGACTGAGAATAATAATGTTATTAACCCGTGGGTGTTTTGTGAATATTTAACGAAATAATGTCGGTCAAGCTCTTAGCAAGGTGTTTCCTTGGTTGACAAAACTAAGTTGCTGCTGTTTATTACAGTCGGCAAAGTTGACCCATTAAGGGGTGAGGGTAAACTACTTCTCATTAAATTCTAAGAGAGTTCGACTCAAGTTGAAGTGGAAACGGCTTGTTACCTATCATTATTCGGAGAAGGTTCATTTACGGGAGTAGTATGTAGCTAAAAGAGACAATGTGGGCTTGAATTTTCCATTCCGTTCAACCAGTTTAGTCCTTGATGTTTTCTAGGGACTTCACAATAGCCATGAAGATTACCTACCTGCCTCCTGCCTCGTACCTGGCTGGATTAAGATGAACTGATTCCAGTCCAGCCACTCTATGCTGATATCGTCCTTCCCCCAGCACACACACACAAACACACACACAAACACACACAAACACACACACACACACACACACACACAAACACACACACACACCTCTTCTCCTTCCTTCTCCAGCCCCCTCTCCCACTACCCTTGCTGCTCCGCATACTATAGTCCAGTTTCTTCCCCAGTTCCTACTTCCTGGAAGGGGACGTAGCAGTATATTGTCTGGGGCTGTACCCCAGAATCTGAAATTGTCTAGTCATAAGAAACCTTTCCATGCAGGCTTTGGATAATGACTGGAGTGATCGATGGTGTCTTTGTCAAAAAGAAGTCGCCAGAGTGAATGTGTCCCTCCCCAGACATTGGGTGCTCTTTTCTTACCGGAAACCCCTTCTCCTCTTGCAGCCTGCAGCCTTCTTGATGAGGACATTAGTCCACTGTTGCCAACCATCAGCTCCAAAGTTTCCCCGGAGCCTAGAGAAGCTTGCGCGCCCGCGCGCAGGGTCTGGACCAATGTGCGAGGGCTGTGCCTAGCCCACCCGGACGCCCTCCCCCGTGGAGCGTGCGGCTGGCCAATGACAGCCTGGCCCTGATGGCTTGGCTTTCTCCCCTCCTCTGTTGCTGCTCCCTAGCCCACTCTGCCCCGCCCACCCATCTCAGGCTCGGTTTGCCTCCCGCTGAGCTAGCTCAGCGAGCGCACAGCACTGACAAGCTGACAAGCCCCAGCGAGCTGGCACCAACAGCCAGCGCTCCCCGCCTAGGTCCCGGGTCAGCTGCTCGCTGCTTGAAGTGGCTTCTGACCCTGGGGACCGTGGGTCAGACGAACTTCATCCCTGAAGGGAACCGGTGCGAGAGAAGACAGAGTAAGGGCGAGCCATGGACCCTGTGAGCCAGGTAGAACTGAACAGGACAGGCAGGGTGGCTGGCCTAGGATTGGGAAACGCCAGGGACGTCGACACACTGGACAGGTGTCCCCAGCCCTCCGCTCATACTTTTGCTTTCTTTCCCCTTTCTCGTTCGTTTGTAGCTTGCCTCTGCGGGCACCTTTCGGGCATTGAAGGAACCCCTTGCCTTCCTGCGAGCCCTGGAGTTGGTGAGTAGCTGGAAGGCATTGAGCTGCCAGGTAGAAAGAGGTCAAGTGGGGCGCTCTCTGTTCTGTTCATAGCCAGGGGTCCAACCTCTTTCAATCTTGCCTGCTCCAGGTGCGGTTCTGGGGCTGCTAAGGTAGTGTCGAGGTCACAATGGGATCCTAAGTGAAATGTAGGTGCATTTATGCAGGAGTTCAAATCACCTTCCTTCGCAGCTTGCTGGCCAGCAGGGTCTGGTAGGGGAAGCAGGGGATGTGGGAGGGAGAAGGAGAAGCCTCCGTGGAGCTCTGGCCTCTCTCCTGTACCCTTAGGAGCCCTAGACCAGTATGGGTAGGGAAGCATCACAGACAGAGAGCTGGGAGGACTTGTCCAAGCTGGAAAAGTTGGTCAGCGCTGGGCTAGCTACTGTTCTGTGTTCAGATCTCTGAGACTCACTGCTTGACTGGAAGCTCCAGCTAGAAGTATACTCCAGAAGGCTTTAAAGAGAGGATAGTATAAGTGAGAAGGACTTCCCTAGTATCATTTTTTCTACCGTCACTACTGTTTTTTTGTTTGTTTGTTTGTTTGTTTTTCAGTCGAATCCTTGACAAGCTTTCTCTAGGGTTTGGGCTGTGGGAACTTATATCACGTCTCTGATTTGTTTCTGTTTTTAAAAGCCACCTCAAGGAGCAAGGCACAAAAATGGTTACTCACGAGCAATGCCAATGTTCTTGACTGGAATGATAGTTATCAGGAGTGAAGTCTGTGGGTCACACATTTCCTCTTGCTGGGAGCTCTGGAAGGTTAGAGAAGCCATCTGAACAGAAAGTTCAAAGCCCGTCATGTAGAATTAATCACAGGCGCTAACACGGACCAGCTAGGAAATTATGTAAGAGCCTGTTCTGTGCTCCAGACTCAGAGACAAGGGTGTGTGTCTGGCTTTCACTACATAAGTGTGAAGCATGTTTCCATCACAATCCAGAGATAATCCCAGCTTCCCTGTGAATTGACCTGGAACACAATGCTTGATTGGATCAGTTTAACCTCTTCAAGAAAGTTCTTTAAAAAGGCTCCTGTTATTGCCTTTCAGTTTGCTATTCTGATACTGTTTCTCTCTCTCTCTCTCTCTCTCTCTCTCTCTCTCTCTCTCTCTCTCTGTCTCTCTCTCTGTCTCTCTGTCTCTCTCTCTCTCTCTGTCTCTCTCTCTCTCTGTCTCTGTGTGTGTGTGTGTGTGTGTGTGTACACAAAGGCCATGGTTCGTACACACATGGAAATCAGAAGAGAACATATGGGAGTTGATTCTCTCATCTGTTCACTTATGGTAGATTCCTGGGATCGAACTCAGATTGTGAGAATTGGCAGCACGTACATTTATCTGCTGAGAGGCTGACAGCTGTAATATTGGTGGTTGGTTGGATGGTAGGTCTGCTTTTTTTCCTTGTTCCCAAGTCAGGCAAATCTGCTATACTCACAGCTGAAGGGCCTTTCAGCTGTCTTCCTTAGCCCCTGTCTCACATTTGTTTACTTAGTCATCAACTAGAACTTCTCATGAAGGCATGACTTTAAAAATATCAAAATAATACTTCAGTTCTCAACTTATTTTCCCCCAAAGTTCAGAAACCTAACATCATTTTCTGATAGAACATATGACTATCTCGCATGGTCATTTACTTGAAATATCACTCTTTCTTCAGCATGATTTTTCTCCTACAAACAAGGTCTCTATTGATAGATTTCAAAGGCCTAGTCAATCTAAGTGAGTTTGTTTAGATCATAGCTTTCTGGACAGCAACTCAGAATGCTGGGAAGATGGATTTTCAACAACCATCATTCAAAACAAGCCCCTGTGGGTAATCCTCAAATGCATCAATGTTGAAGAAACATGAGTCTGGGACACACTGTCTCTTCAAAGCCCAAAGGCTATTTACCCCAGTGAATATTTCTGTCTTCCCATTCTAGGCCTAGAGGAGATGTTTGTTCTTAGCTGAAACATTAGTTCCTCAGTAAAGTGTGTCCCATACGCCTCCTAGTTTCTTACCCCTGAACTGAGCGACTCACTCCATTCTCTGGCCTTCTGTTACTTCTTATCTATTCACAAGAAGTATCACACTGTATTACATTGGACTATAGGCCATACTGTCTTGAGATGGAGAGATAACAGCTCTGGGCAGGTATACATCTCTGTGTGTGCACTGACATACGGAGCTGCTCTGATACATATGTAGCCTATATTCAAATGACAGTGCATCGGGTGGAAGTATAGTCATCTAGTGCATTATATATTTGTTCTGTCTCTGTGTCTTTTACTAGTCCCATTCAGAACTCTTGGTAAACAGTGGGTGATCAGGAAAAATGTTCATCGGTAAGCATAGAGCACTTACTATAGCCAGTTTCTCTTCTCCTGTAGAAGCTGACGAAGTGATAGAACGTGGCTTTGAGGCTGAGAGTCTCCAGTCTTTAAGCTATAATCCTTGTCAGCATCTATAATCGTGAAAATAAAGTACACATAAAGATGTATGTTTCGGTAGTCCTCTTGTTGTTATAATAAATCGCCTTAAACTGAGTAGTTGTTACATCAGAGAGATTTCTTTCTCATATTTCTGACGGCTGGAAGTTTCAATCAAAGGTTGACAGATTCTGTGTCTGGCAAGAGCTCACTTTCTAATTCACAGATGGCACCTTCCCTGTGCCCTCACTTGCCCTTTGTAAGGGCACCAATGATGTACATGAGGTCTCTGACCTTGTGAGTGATCCAGGTCCCAAATGTGCCACCATCTAATACTGCCGGGTTTTTTTTTTGGGGGGGGGGGCTCAGATTTTAACATGTAAAGGTTGGAAGGCACACCATTTACAGTGGAAAAATAGAAGCAACCAGTAAAAACATGTAGGAAAATACTTAAAGGTGTAACTTGTGCAAATAGTGAAATATGCTATCATTAAAAACAATGAATTAAGTTAATATCCATTTACATCGAAGTTGATGCCTATATACTGTCAAAAATGAATCCAGGCATGGTGGTATCTAACTGTACCCCAAGGACTAAGGAGGCTGAGGAAGAGGGATCATCCTGGGATACACGGTGAGATGCTGCTTCAAAACAATCCTTAAAAACAGAAAAGAAAGAAACTAAGCTTTTCTTTTTTTTTAAACACTTCATAAACTTTAAATGGAGGAATAATAATCTCTCCATTAGTCAGTACGTAAATGATGCGGTCCATCAGATATGCAGGTTACCTGCGCAACAAACAGCACGGTCTTTACAAAACCACATGTGAGTAGTGTGTTGGAATGTGTCTGTGCGCCTTATATGAACATAGAAGGAGGCATAACAGTACCTACAACTGAACAAATAAATAATGAGTTTTTGACAAGATGTAATTTGGTAGTTAGTGGTAAAGAATGGAATGGCCTGAAAGAAAGTCATGAAAGTCACGATTATAGATATGTCACTCCTGTACAGTCATACATGTGGGTGATTCTAACTAGTGTTGTCAAATTTTTCCTGTGGATGGACTATTTGAACTGATTCACAGCCAAACACGTCTTCTTAAGAGGTAGATATGTTTTATACATTCTTCCCTTAGAAGAGCTTGTAGATGAAATAAATTTAAACTCTTAATAACATAGAAAAGCATGACGGGAAAGCCTCAACTACTTTCAAACACTTTTGAACAAAGCTTCTCCACCGTTGATCTCTATTAAGTCATGGGGTGAGGGAACTTTTACTAACTTTTCAAAACCAGAGATTCAAAACACAAATCTGACTCTTGTAATTTATTTACTTTATTACATGATAAGAAAGTATGTCCTACAAAGCTTTTTTTTTTTTTTTTTTTTGGTTTTTCGAGACAGGGTTTCTCTGTGTAGCCCGGGCTGTCCTGGAACTCACTCTGTAGACCAGGCTGGCCTCGAACTCAGAAATCCTCCTGCCTCTGCCTCCCAAGTGCTGGGATTAAAGGCGTGCGCCACCACTGCCCGGCCCCCTACAAAGCTCTTAAACCATTATTTGAAAATGTTATAAAATATCCAATTTAGCTTCCTTCCATATTTTGAAAAGCCATGAACATACCATTCAATCTTCTACTGGTCTTTCTTAGTTTGTTACTTCAGTACTGCAAATACACACACTCTCTCTCTCTCTCTCTCTCTCTCTCTCTCTCTCTCTCTCTCTCTCTATATATATATATATATATATATATATATATTTATTCATGGTCTCTCTCTGTCTCTGTAAAAATTTGTAGTAAACACGTTGCTTTCTTCTGCTATTTATTTATTTATTTATTTATTTATTTTGGTTTTTCGAGACAGGGTTTCTCTGTATAGCCTTGGCTGTCCTGGAACTCACTCTGTAGACCAGGCTGGCCTCGAACTCAGAAATCCACCTGCTTCTGCCTCCCAAGTGCTGGGATTAAAGGAGT